CAAAAAAGGTTGGGGACCGCTGAACTAGGTGACACAAAGCCTGCAGCTGGTAATTCAGTAGTCACAAATCTCACCACTTAATTGTCTGATGGGTAAACGGCGAAAGAAGTGAACTCATCACTATTCCAGCTGCAGCTACAGAATAACTGCCGCAAAGCAAATTAATATAACTTGTTGTTTGGGAATAATTTAATCAGTATCAGTATGAGCAGACAAGATTTGCAACAATTACTGCAGTTACTCATTTTTCCATTTTACTGTTGTGAAACCACTTACCTGTCCTCAGGGAAAGGAGACAAAGGATTAGGCATCTCGTGCCTCTCCTGCAACCACAGCATGAGACCTGAAGCAAAATAAACCACTGACATGAACTTCCTGAAAATCTCTTCATACAAATCAAATATGAGGCTGTCTGATGTTATGCTGGCTATTCAGTTAGTCACAGTTTCACCATGTTATTGTCTGACGGGTAAACGGCAAAAATGTGATCTCATCACTATTCCAGCAGCCGGACTGAGCTACAGTTAAACCAAAACTTAAATATGGTCAAATATTTCAGCTCTCACCTTAAAGGGTCGACACAGTGAAGACATCAGGTTATTTGCAGCAGCATAGCATCTGAAATAAAAAAAAAAAGAGTTAGTTTAGTATGATCTTTTGGTTTTATTAAGGACCAGCCTAATAGTTCGCTCTAACTTTAAGTTTTTAAATCAAGTAGTTACTCCCTTTCAACAGAAATACACCCCAACCACCTCTCAAGATCAGTGAAAGTCTGTCACTGCAGCTTTTCCAAACCTTGAAACTAATTGCTCTCAGGAGTGATGGGATATTGATTTTCAGCTTGAATAAGTAAAATGTACTGAAAGAAAAGCCAATACAGCGAGAACAGATGACTGATCACCTGAAGGTCAAAGGTTGCAAAATAACACAGCCTAGGAGCATGGCTAACACCGCATGTCTGAGAATGGGTTCAACAGCAGGTCACGACCTCTGCCATGACCTTATGTCTTCATTGGGGCCTTGATGACTTTCCCCAGTAAACTAATGAGAGGTGGTAATTCCCTGACCAGCAGCTCTTCTGCTGACCCCTTGACAAGACTAGACGTAGCGTTCAGTAAGATGCTGAATGACAGCGAGTCCAGAAAAATGATTTATTACTTTACTTCAGGGATGAGACCTGTCTATTATAATGAGACATGCACACCAATGAACAAAGGTGGCGAAGGAAGACAAATCCCCAATATTACATTTGAGGTGCAAATGCAAACTTTTTAAATATGCTATCACTTGCTTTTAGGCAACCAAGAAACCAGAAGTAACCAGAAGTTTGTCTTTAAGCCCTTATACGACTCTTTTTAAACTTGTAAAATTCCCCATCTTAATATCTAATACACGTTCGCCATCATTTCAGCTTCGTTTTTAGTTTACGCAGGCATACAACCACAGATCTGCAAAATAATACTTCACGCCACGTGTTTCTTGTGAGCCTAACGTGTTCACATTTGTAAACTGGAACCAATGAGATCGTGGGACCGGGAGACGAGAAATAAGAATGTCTGCCACATGAAATGATTCATGTTATTTTATTACCAACACACTAACGTGTTTTTGTAAGGACAGAGTTGGTGCAATGCTCAAAATCAGGAGCCAGATTAGCTTTACTATACAAATAGAATGAAACACCTTTTTGTGTTTTAACTATGATGAGAAACAGTAAAGGAATCCCTCACGTGGGTGAAAGGAGTACGCTGTACTCCTTTCACCCACGTGGCTGAGTAGCTAACTAGCTTCATGCTACCGACTGATGGCCTGTTTCAAGAGCAAATTCATATTCAGCTTGAAAACACGCTGACTGATGGTCCATTTTAAGCTATGCAAACGTACACAACCGTGTCTCTATTGCTTACCTACGCTTTGAATCGCGAAGAAGTTAAATGTTGAGAAGAGCTGAAAAGCCGCACTGCCTTCTGCAGCCATCTCCGGGAGAAGAGGAAGAGTTTCCGGTCCGACCTCCTGTTTCTACGCACCACGGCTGCGCAGTGCAGCATGCGAAGCGCACAGCGAAGCATTTTTTAAGCTTCTTTTTAAAATCTAAAGTGCTCTTATTTATGCACTGTATTGCATAAAGTTTTAATAACAATGATGATGGCCTGTAAAGACATATACATATGTGGTGATTTTTGTTCAGTTGTCGCCATTCTATATTCTGACCGATGGTCATTCTGGGCATGCGCTCACGGGCCCATGTAAAGTTGTGTGTGTGTGCGTGTGTGTGTGTGTGTGGTGGTGGAGGGGGGGCCTCCAAGAGGCAAATGGAATAATAAATAAATAAATAAATAAATAAACAAACATACTAATACCAGCGCTGTATTCAGTTAAAAATAGATCTGAGAGAGAAAAGAGACAAAGTAATTGTGTGCATCAAAACTTACATTAAATATATTACTATTGGTAATTTTTCCATTTAATATAAGGTACTTTAGAGCTTTTAGTGAAGCTGTACAATCATGGCCACTTTTCGTTTTTTTCCAGGAAGGTACGATGCTCTGAATTTGGAAATACTTCTATGTACTTGTATATGAACGTTCCTGTGTAATATGTCTGATTACTGAAGAAGGAACAGAAGGCCGAGCATAAAACAAATGAATAAAAGTGAATTTAAAAAAAACAAACAAACAAACACAAAAACAAACAAAGAGGGGGATGTAACTTGATGATCCGGACATGTGACAGCAAAAAAATAAAATTAAATAAATCAATAAATAAAAAATATATCATAATTTCTGTTTCTATGCTCTTCCTTTATTTAATCCGCACTAGCTAAAATAGGGAAATATCGTCATTTGGGGATTTACACATACCTATATCAATGTTTTAAAAAATTACATCATGAAATCCGATTAATCAGTCTAACAGAGTCACCAATAAAGATATTTTGAGTGAAGAAATTGGTATTATAACACTTATCATAACACTTTAATTCATAGTGAAGTATTAATATTTTAAATGTTAGTGATAAGAAAAATAATCAGAAATAAGAAAGCAGTCATCCCTTTTAAACTGTATGAATTGTAATTGTTTTTACTAACACTATAAGTTATGCATTCATGTATCGTATTTTTTTTTTTATATTTTATGATAAAATAATACCAATTATTATTGTTTACATAGACCTTTTAGCCAGTCGGATTTCTAAAATCAGCTGCAAGACAAGTTAAAACGTTTCTGTATAGTCATCAGTGAAATTTGTGTTATCTCCAAATTCTTAATCGAGCACCACAGATGGATTTGATTAAAACCTACAGCCACACAATTACAGTGACTGTTCAGAGACCACAAAAACCACAATCACTGTCCAGCAAATGCCATCAGTAATAATAATAATAATAATAATAATAATAATAATAATAATAATAATTGGAACACCTTTAAAATGTTTTCTATCGTTCAAACCTTGGAGACATATCTTCTTTCATTGTCAAGTAATTTATTCACAAACACATTTACACCCATGCATGTAAAAAATAAGGAGGAACATGAGACTCGGAGCCTGCATTGTGGGCTCCCTGACAGACCACTTCACATGACAGATGTTAAGTTATTCAGACATGCATTTAGTGCAAATGTCTCAGCTGAAAGTGCACACTCAAGCATGACGGGCTCGTTGCCCCGAGGAGTCTCTGTAAATATACCTGGGACATGTGTGGAGCTGCACAATGCAGGCAGGATTAGTCGAAATAACACAAAGAAATATAATGTATGCTTTCTCAAAATTTATACAATAAAATTCACGTAATATATTAATTTACAAGGTCTTCCTAATTTGCGGTGCTTTAGTGGGAGCTGTTCTACAATCATGTGCCGCTTCGGAAGTAAAGCATGAACTCGTGCACAAAACGAAGCTGTTCGGTACAAATGAATTAAGCCTATTTTACTGGGAGGTGGACGACGATGGGCCTTGATCCTCTGACTCTGAAGGACTAGAAGTGTTTAGGAATTGCCCGCTTGCTCCAACGTACAGCCTGGATCGCATTGGCCATTTCTGTAGGGGAAAAACAGAAACTAATAAATCGAAATATTTAAATTGGTAAAATAATTTCTAAAAGCAGAGCTCGCTGGTGTGACAGGATTTTCTGCATCTATAGGATAAAGGCTGTGCTAACTTCTTAAATTTTAAAAAGTGAGAAATTTCTAACAGAACATGATCACCAAAATAATTTTAGGATAAAACAATTAATGAAGAATTGAAAACAAAACTAGATCTCTAGTGATTAATGCTTATTAACACTGACCTTCACCGGGTGCAGGTAGCCTTCGCCTTTCAGTGAGTGTAACGCCTCTGTTTGTTTCGTGCCCTCTCCTTCCTCTGTGCCTTCTTCCTGCAGAGTTCGAGTCAGATGGGCAATATAGGTGGTGGCCAGTATCAGCACGTCGAGTTTGGACAGCTTGGTGTCCGGCGGCACTGACGGCAAAGTCCTTTGAAGCTCCAGGAAGGCGTTCCTCAGCGTCTGTACCCGGCTCCTCTCCCTCGCCGCATTCGCTGCTGCCGGGCGTCCTCTGCCGCCGATCCCGCCGCTCTGGAGCACTCTGGCCCGGTGGAGCTCCTGACGACGACCGTCTGGACTCGGGCTGGAGCTCGGGCTGGATCCTGGACTGTCATCCACCACTGCTCCGGAGCAATTACCGCTGTCCATTCGGAGCGTCTGTCTTCCAACCATCGGGGTGCACTTACTGACCTGGATGAAGAGGTTTTAGGTTAGCCTATACCTGCCCACTGTAGCTGCACATTTTTATTTGAACTCTAGCTGTAACTTTCAGCCATTTTACAGACAAATTGGAATATTTGAGTCCGCTGTTCTGTAGCAAATGTTCTAATTTGAACTTAAACACTTATACTTATCTACACTATTAAAGTTGCTGCCTTTTGCATTTATTTATATCCATAAGTTAAGTTCTGTGATTAAAGGTCAAACTGTATGATGCTGCAAATAAAACAGGAAACACACTTCAAGTCTAAAAATCTTTCAGCATCAAAGAAAAACAAAACAACAAAAAAGAAACCTAATCCAAATAACTGACAGCTGTCTAGTTGCACTGACATAAATTTATGCTCAGAAGATTTCCAAACCAAGTCTTTCCCGGCATGAGAGCCTTATCTGTTCGGTAGTCTGATGTGGAGTTTACCTCTGGTACTTCTCAACGGCTCTGCCTCAAAAAACGACATGAAGGCAACCCAAAGAAGACGTCGTTAGGTCAGAGAATTTGCTCGCCAATGTAGAAGAGATCCCTTTCAAAGTCCAGTTTATCCTTATAAAGTATGCAGAAACGCTGCGCCGCAGTCCCCGTGTACGCACATCCAACACTTCACCTGTGTGCGTAAGTCTCGGGAGCCCTTAATTTATTGGATACACAAAGCGGCGGACAAGTATTTCACTCCGACGTAATTAATCTTTCGACCCATAACACCCGCTCGCAGCGGAGAAAAGGCTGCTCTTTCCGCCTTCCCAACTTATTTCTGTCTGGGGGCAGCAGAGGCTCGTTTTCAACGCCAGAGGCAGGGCTCTCTTTTGCTTCAACTCCGATATGTGCAGGCCGTATCCCACTCTAATTGGCTGCGAACTTGACACTGTATTTTCTTCATAAGCCTATCACCAAAAAAAGGAAGAAGAAGAAGAAAAAAAGAAAGTGACATTGGGGAGACGTTTGGTCACAATTAGCTCAAATATGCTCCTTAAGGTCAGAAACAAAAGGCTGGTCTACCAAAACGCTATTTGCAATAGACCATGAAGCCAAACTGACAAGGGTAAGGTGATATGCAAAACATGTGACGAATTGCCAGAGTGTCTTGAATTGCAAACTCATTGGAACAGCTAATAAATAAACTCCAGCACTGCAATCAACAGGCAGGCGTTGAGGAAATTCTTGTGAGACTCATAAATTAATCACTCTGATTTTCAGGGCTCCAAACAGAGATGTCGGCAAATTAATGAAAGGAATTATTCATAATATGTGTATCCTCAGAGTGTTCTTAATAAACATTGTTTTTGTAAGGATGGGGTAACAGTATTGCTTCGGGCCACTAATTATAAGGAGAAGTAAGGGAAGGTTAAGTAAGCTTGTTTCCCTAATTATCCCGCATCTTTCAGGGTTACGCACCCACGTGGCTCCCCAAAAACTCAAAGTAACGACGATGAGACCAAATGCGTCCGCGTCGCGGCTTTATATGTTATAAAAGAGGACGGAATCATTTATCACGGCTGTTTAAATAGAAGCACACGCTGTTAGTTTTGGATAATGTAAAGACTTGTAATAATAAAGCAGAGCGATCATTTAGATTGTGCCACTCTGCATCTCCAGGTTCACTTATTTGCTGACATGCATTTAGAAGAAAAATGACATCACAGGAAATGCATTGCAACTAGCAGTTTGGGTTTGGACAAATTAAATCATCAGACCCCCCCACCAAAAAAATAAATAAATAAAATCAATAAAACAGCTGTAAAAAACATTAAATAAATGTCTTTATTTTTTCCCACAATGGTTATTAATTTTAGTTACTTATTATTTCAATATAATGAAATCACTTTAGAATATGCTGTAAAAACATGCCATAGGTGAAGGAAGCTGCAGTGACTCTGAGTTGCCTGCAGTTTTGCAGCTATAATGATCAAGATGGATAAACAAGGTACAAGCAGTTAGTCATGGGTGAAGATTTTGGTGCACTTGTAGGTTTGTCTTAAAGCAACCACATGACTGCAGACAGCTGATGAGACAGCCAAAAGATCAAGGCTATTTACAGAAACTGGAATTTTTCTGCCCTGGAAGATAAGAGAGAGAAAAAATCAAATGCTGACAAATAAATATTAGCTATAATCATTTTATGGCTAAACTGAAATGTCTTTAATCTTATGTAAAATCAGTAAAACTGTTGGTTCCTTTCAGGTTTTTAAGAAAAAAAGATAGGAAGGAGAATGAAGGAAAACTAACTGACTCTTACAATAAAATATGAATTTCTCTAGCAATGTTCACTTTTTTTGGAGGCGGGGGGGACTTTAAGAATTGGGGTCAGCCTACCATCAGCAGTTATTACTTATGATTTGGATTCAGTCTGCAGTTAAATAATTTAGTAAGTCATGACATAGATGTGCCGAATGTAGGCTTTTTTAAACTGTGATACTGGACCTGAGAGACTGCTGTGGCTTCCACCTCTGCATGTTAGCGTGGCTGTGACCAGGCTGCAGATCCTGACCCATGTTAAATTCATCTGAAATATAAACAAAGCTAAGTACTGCTACTACTACTGAAATTTGCATGGGTGTGAAGTCACCCAGCGGCTTTATGAACTTATGTAAAACTCAATTCAGACTTTTTTTTGTGATTTTTACATTAATCTAAAAACTGATAGTATGGTTTTCCAGTATTGTTATGCATATTAGCAGATCTACAGTACCCTTACTAAAGGAAAGAAGTGACTTAATGGACCATGCAAAGACGAAAGGGAGAATTAAATAGCAAAAACAGGAGGGAAAAATGACTGTAAACAAGGTTGGTGGATTTTAAAAAAAAATGTACAAATAAAGTGACTTACTTGTTAGAGAATAAGGGATGAGTGCTCCAGACATCATGCTTATTATTATTTTTTCTTCTTGGCCTCCCTGAATGCTTTCCAGTTAATAAGGAACTCTCTGGTTAAGTCATTAATCTCCCTTCCATCAAGAGCCTCTATAAGAAATGTTTTAACCAAACAAACATTAAAAAATAAAAACACAAAATGAACTATTGTGAATGTTTTGATTTTAGCCTTAAGAGTGTTTCCAAAATTTAAGTCACAGCAAAATAATGAAAGCGTATTTTCAAATTAGAAGTGAACTGAGCAAACAAATGATTATTATTTTACCGAGGCTTGTGCACACGGTTATCAGGCGGTCTCTGTATTTTGTTTTTTTACACACAGGATTTCCACTCAAATCCATTAGAAACAGCTGAGGCCAGTGGCTGAACACATCTTCTAGCTCCTGAAAATAAACACAGAGCAGGAAATCTGCTATAATCTGTTGTGTCTGAATCCCTAATTATTCTACTGGAAACACTGTGTCTCTAAGGTTATTGTCTACACATCAAACAATAGCCCAGTTTGTTTAAAACAAATATAATGCAATCTTATGATTGCTATTCAGATGATCATAGGGAAAAAAAAGAAAGGTGTGAGTGAATGGTAATATGAAGTATAAGGGCCAATAGAAAGTGCATAAACAACACATCAGTCTGTTTTAATAAACAGTGTCGCCGGTGTCATGTAACTACAAGTTTTCTCCTGGGGCAGTGAGAGGCTGGCTCCTCCAGCGAGTAGCCTGCAGTTGTATGTTTATCTAAAGGCACATTAATCCAAGCCTGGAAATATGAATACTCTCTGGACACGCTCTGATTGTTCATTGCCTTCCTGTCTTGGCCAAAGCGCTTCCACTTTTCCAGCTTGAGCCGCAATCAGTTCAGAGGGGGACCCCTGAGCACCACGCGCTCCCAGGCTTTGATAAATGATCGTGTCAGGGCCGTCACTCAGAAGGCCCTCACTGAAGAGGAGCCCAGCGCCAAATTGCCCCCCACGCGGGGGCGTGGAGAACAGCAGAGGCTGAATGCTCACTGAGCTTGGCCGACTCTCTCACTTCCACTAATGATGGGCCAGTTATGAACCTGTATTTGACCAGAGCTTCGATTCCCCCTGTCCTCTCTGCCCCGCGCACAGCTAACTGCCTCGGAAGATGCTCCCCATTTGTCACCCGGGCTGACTGCCTGTCATAATCTATTTTAAAAATCCATAATGTTTCCTCTGGACTCTGACCAAATGGTGCAGAAAAAAAAATTGATCCTTTGGAGGGCTGTCTTTGCACAATCGATAGTGGCAGACGGGTTGTATAAATTATAGGAGACATCTGCTAAAAAAAATGACACGTGTACAACAATTACCTGCATCAACAATCTCCAAAGAAAGTCCCCTGTTTTAAGAAGGTAGTAAAGTCAACTACAAAGTGCTTTCATTGCGTCATCCTGCTATTAAATGCCAATAAGAAGCAAGAATTACACCCTTTCAAATAAAGCCATCAACTTTTTCAGTTAACAGATAAGTTTAAACAGAGATATCATTGCCATCACAGCGTCAGGGAGTCTAATAAATCTCATAAAGTGATACAGCGGGGGTTTGCGACATCAAATAGACGATTCCAAGGCAGAGAGGAAAAATCAACCTTCCAAGGAACGGGAGAAACTTGTGCTTGTTTGAAGCTGTCAGCGAGAAAATTCTCAGGGGAATGGTTCGCTGATTTGTTGAATAATTCTGACCCTGTGCGAGTCGTGGAGACTGGGAAGCTCTGGCGGGATTTGCAGGATTTAGTTCCTTACAACCCCGCTATCCATATCATTTCACACATCAGTGCAGAAAGCCATGGAACAATGTTAATGCTGACCTGATCAGGCATGCATAGTTGCTGTGAAGGGGTAGTATTTACTTTGACTTCACGTGCACTCACTTTCTAATTGAGTCACACTGCAGCAGGAGCCTTGAATGACATCAAGTAAGTCCTGAAAACGTATATTTACCTCAATACTGCACAGCTTATTGTCTGCAGCAGAAAAATGCTGGAGCTCCTTCAGCACCGCCAGGTCTCTGATATCATCGATGTTGTTGTTATTAATATTCAGGACACACAGAGATTCCTGAACAAAGAATTTACAGAATTCATATTAATGTAAAGAAAAGAGTTCATGTTACAGTCAGTACAATGACAGACTACTACAAACAGATCCTGGACTATAATGTATATATGAAACATGTTTTTTATGGTCAAATCAACTTGATATTAAACTACAGGTATTCAAATATGCAACGCAACTTCCAAAGAAAAGGCAAAAATCATTTGCACCCACCCAAAGAAAATATCTGCAATGCCATATATCAGAGCTTAATGGAAGCAGTACTAGTTGGTCCAAACTACATTTACTTTTATCTCTTTATTTGCTTGTAAGCACTCTTAAGCATGTGGATATGTTGTCTTTACATATATATGTGTGTGGTGCAGTTGCAAAATGTTCACCCTGGTTAGAAGTTTCACAATGGCTCATTTATAAAACGCTGGAACTCTTTAAATTTGCACAGCAATTTCTTTAATTTATCTAAACAAACCAGAAGCTGAGACTTCTGGTGTGTTTATCCATAGCATGGGCAGTAAACGAAGCAAATAGACTCAACTGATTTGTCAGACCAGAGGGAGCAACAGAGATCTCTTTGACATCATCAAACCCTGCACAATATTGCTCTTACACGGATCAGGGGAAATCTCAGATCTCTCTTTCACTGGATGTGATAACCTACACATGCGTTGACAGCCCACACACATCTTTGTGCATGAAAAGTGAATGTCACACCTTCGTCTGGTCTTTCGATAGCTTAAAAACGTATAATGAATCAACCAAGGATAACTTAAGTTATTTGGAAGTGTGGGGGATGTTTTTTTCTGATACTATTAGTGAGCCGAACAGAGTAAAAATAGGTCATACAGCAAGGGAGTCGAGAGTCCTGGGGTCAAAGAGCAACTTTTCCCCCGGTGTCAGTCTTTGATTCTCCACATGAAGCTCTTTGAGCTGATGGAGCTGCTCTAAGCCCTCCACCACAGCAATTCTGTTCCCCCCGAGATACCTGCAGAGCAGCAAAAATCACACACATGTTCAAACACACACCTCCCACTTCATATATTTATCACCAATCAGTTGAACTTTACTCACAGTTTAGAGAGGTTCTGCAGATTGTGCAGATTATCTATATGGGTTATGCTGTTGTTCTGCATATAGAGATGCGTGAGGTTGGAGGCAAAGCTGAGGTTGCCAATGTAAGTGATGTTATTATCATACAGGTAAAGAACGGTGAGGTTTGTACACATTGAAAGATCTCCCTTGGAAATCAAGAAAATTAGGCATTGAAATTAGTAAATTGAAAAATCAGAATTAAAGAAGTGTTAAAGATGCTGATCACTTACAATATCTTCAATATTCTTGTTAGAAAAGTGGAGGTGGGTGAGTGTCTTGAGGTACTCTGGGAAGGAGAGGCCCCTTTTCTTTTTGAAGTGCTTTCTAGACTTAGCAATCAGATCTACGGTCAGATGTACCATGTTGGCTTGTCACAATCTCGGCCTCAGAGAGGATCCCTTTCAGCTTCAGCCAAGCATTCAGCCCACAGCAGTGACTATGGGTTGGCTGTGTCTAAAACATACAAATATTTCCTCTGAATATTTGCTGACAGAAAAGTATTATTTTTACATTTGTAATAACCTTGTACAGACATTTCAATGGTCTAAAACCTAATCACGTCATGGTTTGAAATAACTAATGGAAAATTATATGATTTTAGGTGACCACTGTGTTTTTATATAAGGCTTGTGTACTAAAATGACCTGACCGTGAGGTATACAATTATACTTTTTGAGTTTAATTTCCTCAGGTATTAAGCTTAGGTTGTAATAAGTATACAACTGTGTACGCGTGTAGTTAAAAGATAGTGTTGGGGAGAGGAGAGGAGAGTGATGTGACAGCAGGTCTCATCCACGCTTGATCTCAAGGCTTCAGGTCGGTGGTGTAAGGAAAACTAGACACTGATCGATAAGCTATAGACTAACTGAACTCAAACACTCCTGGGCCTGGGGTTTTTAGGGACTTGCGGACGACTGTCAAAGAAAATCCACGCTTATAGCAGTGCATACGGGCAGGGAGTAACACACTGAAGTGGATAAACTGCAAAGCAACAGTGAAAGGAAAGAATCGGGTCCTTTTTATGTTGTGTAGCTTCGCTAGCACAACAAATATAGCCTCTTAACTACACCTAACACGAAGTTCTACGTTTCCGCTAAATATTCTTCAGGTGTAAAAATCAAATATATAAATAGTTAACTGCATTCTCCTACCTTTTAACGCCGGCAACGGGGTTTAAAACGTATGCTATAGCTACACAGTTTTCAAGCGTGTTGTGCTTTTTTGTTTGAGATTGTGAACATGGTTTCTATGGAAACAACGGAAGTAGCGTCCGCGAGACACAACAGAATTCCACGGGTCACTGAAATTGGCGTAACACCAACGAAGCGGAAGTAGGCTATTAAGTAGCTAACTGGGGGACTAGTGTACTGAAAAGTGTAGAACAGCTAACATGATAGTAAAACTTCCAGATAGAAAAAAGCTTTTTTATGTTTTTATTTTAGGGGAAAGTCGGTAAACTTTAAATTTTGTCATGACCTGGGTTTCCTGTGGAGTGACTTGCCTCTGCTTATGCAGCAGCCCTTGGTGGGGAGGAAGCGGGATCAATCATTCTCACAGCAAAACTGCTCTTTCCATCTCCTGATTAGTGTGGTCATTAGATCTATACCGCCTATTGGACAACATCAGGCTTATAACTATCTGTCAAAGCAGTGCCATATACATTAAAAACGCTTCTTAAATCATTTTATTTTACGATATTTCTTTTTCACAGTCATGCAAGCAGAAACCTTTTTGTACTAACGGGAACATACTTCAGAATTAGAAATCTGTTGAAAAGGATCGTTTAATTTTTTTTGGCTGCCCACAATTTGACTTGATTAGAATTTACATAAATGTTCTTATTGCAGCTTTAGTCATGCATACAAATGTCCATCTGGTGATAATCACAATATTTACATATCCAACAAGTTCAACATGTTTCTTAAATCATGAAAGACCAAACATTAGGTTAATCTATTTTAGAAGTGCATACTTTAAATACCTCCTCAGCACTGACAGTCAGCTATGTAATACATTTAAATATTTGGCGAAAATACAAACTAGTCAGTAGACTGAGTGCAAAAACCTTACTCAATGATTTCATATTCCTAAACTTCATCAAATCTAATCTAATAAGTTCCATCTTCGTAAACCAGTACACCAAAAGTTCTGTTTTAAGACACGGGTTAAATCATGGTTAAGTAAAATCATTATAGCAAGTGGTGCCAAAACTCATGCTTATGAGAAAAAACAGGCACCTCCACTCTCCCACTGGGATTCTCTCCTTTGCAATACATGACATCAAAAATATACATGTAGCCATTACAATACCATAGAAAAAGACATCACACAACCCCAGGCCAAAGGAACAGGAAAAAAAAAGGGAAAAGAAAGAAAGGCAGACTCGGCGAGTGTCTGCTTCGATGGAGAGCAGGCGCGTCGGGTGAATGGACCCCAGTGTGCACGGCTTCTGTTTCTGCCCTGCATCACTGCCACACCACAACCTGACGAGCTGGCCGCTCTGCCACAGCGTACCACCGAGGGCCAAACTGTGCTGGGAGCAACTCTGCAGAGACATCCCACGCATGGCAGTCGATTCCCGCTGAGCCTAAGCAGAAGCTGTAGTTTGTTGTTCCATTATGTAATGCTATGACAGGCTACACCACTTGAATGACTGACTGGTGCTAGGTTAGACTGAGCGTTAAATGTGACCACACCGATGTGTTATTTAAATGTTGTGCTGAATCAGGGCTACGTGTGAAAAGATGCCGCCGTGCCTTGGGCATGGAGAATATAATATTATGCATTAAAGAGTAAACATTTGGACAGCAGTGTACATCTAATCCACCTTCCACTGAAACCGATCACTGTCCCAGCTACACTTTGCCTTATATAAAACAAACAAACAAAGAAAGAAACAAAAAAGCACAAAATGCTGCTTTTTTTAAGTTTTATTTTTTGCACGTGTCTTCTAATTCTTATCTACATGAAGGAAAAATGAATAGAAAAGCACTCCCAAGAGAAATGACAGATGATGCTACTCTTAGCAGTTAAACATACACCATGAATCAGTAAGCACCGGGCATGCACAAGAACACATTTCCAGGTGTAATTCAAATGGCCTTGTGGCTGAGGTTTAATTTCCAGACGTGTTGATTTGATTGAAGAGTTTGTCCTTAATGACTTGAGACATCAGACCATGAATCGCTTCTATGGTTGTCTTGCAGCTAAAATAAACCACAGAGAGAAATGAAGATCAGCATTTAATCCAGGGGGGGAAAAAAGAAAAGGAAAACAGATGCAGCATAAAGGGATATGACATTTAAAGTGGTGTCAGCAGACTTTTTAAACGTAATGTTGCTGTTTGCAGACATTCGTAGTGGCTGTATGTATCAGATATCACCGAAACTAAAGCTACTTTCGGCTGCACTTGTATTCACGAGGGGTTGCCACAGCAGGTAGCTCGCCATGTGTGATTTGGCCTTCCTGTGTTTTATCCTGAAACCGGGGATGTTTAGCTTGACAGGTGAACGTTTAATCCACTACATTATAGAGCCACTAAAAGATGAAACTGAAACCACTATCAACATTATTTGCCCTGATGAAACCCGTTTTTTAAATTCATGTGGATATAGTACAAGTGTAGCATTTATTTCATTGTTTAGTTTAAATATTTAATAATAAAAAAGTGAAAGAAGTTTGTTTTTAAAAATACTTATTCTAACATATTCTACATGTATTCAAATTACGTATTTAAACAGTTATAACCTCATATTGTAATGTGCATAACAAATTCATAATATAGTAACGTGATATTTAGACTATATGTCATTCCTAATATGCCTCTATGTTGTCAATACAAACAATTGCTGAAAGAAACTGTTTTAAATCTCTCTATATAGCATCATTATCACCTTCAGATCAATCTATTGACCCTGAAGGAGAGGTCAGAGGTCAAATATGACATGATATTTTAAATCTATATGGTGCTTTTTATACCACACTTGTAAGAATCATAGCTTCTAAGTTATAAGGCTTTTTGTCAATTTTCAGGCAATAAATCATTAAGTTGACCTTGAAGGCCTGAGTGGATGTAAGGCAAATCTTAATGGATTGTTAACATGATGCCACCTTACACCCCAACAAGTTTATCTAAATTAATTCAAACATTTTGAAGCTGTTTGCACACAGAAAGAATGACACACACGAAAATGCTCCCAAAAACATGACCACCTTGGCGGAGTTCGTAAAGACATTACTGAGCTGGATTCTATTAGAAACTAAATCAAGAAATTTGAAATAGCCAAATGGGGTCAGTTTGCATAATAACTGATTAAAAAGTATCTTAAAGCACAGAATGATTACTGCTAAGCAACACTGGTCTGATTAAGAAACAAATTTTAGATTAATTTAGCAACAAATACAAAAATAAACTACTGTCCTTAACACCTAATCAATGCCGGATTTAATAAAGACTGACATTTAATTTGAGGATGTGATAAAAATACTGCTCGAAATAAAAGAAAACAAGCCAGTTATAAGGTCAGTGGAAAAAATAATATCACACAAGTAGAAAATATGATTACATAATTGAAAGCAACACCACTGACCACTTTATTCATCTAGCAGGATATTATTTATACATTTACAGTCATATTATATCATACTTAAGTTACAGTGCCCAAAATAAATTAAGCTGACATTTAATTTTACTAAATCATTCTATCGAAAATAAAACCCACCTGTCTCGTGTTGCTTTGGCCAGTTTGTCCTCAGACTTTCTGTCGTGTGTGTCTAATCCAAGCATGAAGCAGCCTCTGCCCAGCTGGGCCTCCGACTGCTCCAGCTTCTCTGACAGGTCGAACACCTGGCCCGTGGTGTAGTCCGAGTTCTGACCATGCAACACACAAACACACAGAAACTGACTCATGCACAATTTGCTAAAAGCTAAAAGCTTGATAACAGATTTTCCTTTTTTTTTTTTTTTTTTCCTTTTTTTGCAGAATGGCAACAAATATGTCTAAAAAGCCAGAGGAACACTTTATGGGTTGTGGTGAATGAAAAGAAGTCAGTGAAAGGTTTGCTTAAGGTGAGGCCGTGTTTATGGTAGAAAAGGTAATTAAAACACAATGACAAGGGAGGCCCCTGGCTGGGGTGACAGTGTAGCAACTGACAAAGCCCGTCACCCATAAAGCAGCCCGTTCTTGACATCTAGTCAATTCATCTTCATCCAAAACGCCAAAAAGCCAACTGTTTGGACAAGCCTGATGCCTATTTAGACTGTTTAGTCAAGCTCAGGACAGAGTTCCTGCATCCACAATGCAAATTTACATGAGGGGCTTTCAGGCTTTCGAACGAACAGCAAGGGGGAAAAGGAGCATCATGGAGTCGGCTCCAGCTTTAATACTTATCTCCATTGTGAAAAAAGTTCACGTACAGCTTATTACTAAAATCAACAAACACGAACGCTTAGCTAATAAGAAGCAATAAATCATGACATCACAAGCTGGTGACCACATGTCTAGATGAGTTATAGAGTAATAATTAACCATAAATCAAAATGTCAAACAAATAGCAAACATTTTGATTTTTGAAATGCCCTACATACCGTGAGGAGACTTGAAGAACTTAAGGTATTAACCCAATATTTATTCCAAAGGAGTTCCAGGAGCTTTCTATCGAGGGAGGACTTAAAGTAAGTAACCTCCAAGGCGTAATACCTAAAAAGGAGAGAGACAGAGAAAAAAGAAGCGCATATGCAAGTACTGAAAATAAAGTAAACAGTGAAAAATGTGTGATACGGTACATGCTACACAAGTATTTGATCCGGTACAATACTGTAGCAAATATAAATACTCACTGTTTACAGTGTACACCAAAGTCTTCAATCTTGTTCAGGGGGATAGTCTGATATTCTGAGGGTCCCTCATCAGGGGGTTTGTAACCCTAAAAATCCAAAAAGGAAATACTAAGTACTTACTACAGTAATAAGGAATTAAGAATACAGAGTAACTGAAATTTTTTTTATAAATATATTCTTAACAAATACACAACAATAAAATCAGTATATAAAAACATCTAAAATAATCAAATACAGCTATGCACAAGAAGAATAAAAAAGCAGATATTTTGTGATTTTACTAAAGACCAAAGAGGACTGCTGCTAAAGTCTTTGCTTTACCTTCGGGTAGGTTCTGAAGGCACCAAGGTTGACTTTCCCTGCAGAAATAGTCCGAGTGGGATCAATCTATAGGAAGCAAGATACAGTAGAACAGGAAAACAGAGTCAGGGGTCACACAAACCTCTGGGGACTACTCAAATGTGGCCACCAGGAGCCTTTTTACTGGGGCTGTCAGTGTGCTGAAAATACACACTTAATTACAATGCGCCCCTGGCATTTAAGCGCCGCTAAACCAAATGAAGTGTAAATAGCAAATGTGGTTGTAATAGCAAAATATTCATCAGTACTACGTGCAAATTTACAACTCATCCATCAGTATTCTTCCCCCCTTCTCAGTTACACCCACATTAATGGGATGTGGGATATGGGATAAGCTCCATTTGAAAAGTGGGAAAATAGAAGTCACAGTTAAAAACAAAAAGCCATTAGCTTCAAAATAAAACTGGTTACTATTTCCCATCTTACCACAACAGCCACAAAAGGCTCCTGAAACTGTTGGTTGAGCATCTGGGTGCTGACATCTATGCCTGAGAGCCAGCATCCATAGCCTGGGTGACTGTGGTACCAGCCTATCGCATTCTCCAGCCGGCCAACCTGAGGAATTATAGATAATATAAAATCATATCTTCTTTATGAAAGTGTAAGATGTCAGTAACATGATTGTATTTGACACAGTTTGCAGTTTTTATCCTTATCTAAAGTAGAATTTTCCTATCTTTCTTTTAAGAAAAAATATCTCCACATTCGTGTAGTCACTTGAATTCTTTAGAGTATTGGATAGTGTATGTTAAACAGGGACTGGAGAAACCTCATTACATAGTACAATTTACACAAAATTTTACAATTATTCCTAGATAATATAAAAGAGTGCAAATCATATTAACCTTATAATATATTCATACTGTATTCCTGCTTCTTGGGTTGCAACATTAACTACAATAAAGTGCTTGAAAATAGGTTAGAGGTAAGTAATCGTATACTCAGCATGGGAAAAGGCAGACAAATGTGGTTATATATGGTTATCAGAATATTAATACTATCAAAAGACAGTAATGCTTCAAATAATCCCTTTATAGTTTGTAAAAATCTTATTGATATTAAGTTAAAGATTTTTCTAAAGCAGCTGAAACACTCTTCCTTAAGTAAAAAAAATGGTTGCAAGCCAGTGACAGTCACAGAAAGTATTAAATTAATGTCTCAGATGAAATCAAGTCTGATTTTATTTAGGCTATAGTTCGGTTCCTTCTTTCTAAGTCATAACTCAAACACGATGCTCTTTATGTGCGAGGAAGTCAATGTCCCACCTGTTTGGCATTTTCAATATAGGCAGCCATGTATTCATAGGCTGCCGCCTGGGCGTTAACTCTGGTCTCTGTGCCCTCCACGGGCAAAGCAAAGCTGTCCATGATGATCATGGTTTCACCGTCCACCTTTCCCAGCATGAGGCCCATCACCTCCAGGTTTCCTCCAGACCTGGCATGCATTACCATCTTCAACAGGGCCAAAGCTGAGATTTTGCAGTACTTGAAGTAGTGGTGACTAAAAGATGAACAATGACAAATGTATTTGTATTGATGTTAGATAATATTAAGCAGTGCGTATATTGTAGATACACATCCAGTTTGCTGTACTGCTACTGACATAAAGACCGGTTTGCTAGTTTGTAGCTAAGCTACCACTAATGTTCCAACAATAAACTACCAACGAACACCATTTAATACGAATGCGGCAGCTCAGCAATCACCTAAATACTTAGACAGAAACCTAAATACCACAATGTCGTTTTGCACCCACTCTTTCGTCCATGGCTTCGCAGCGAGGATTTCTTGTTGTTGCTTTTTGTCATATTTGTAAATTTCATCAATGCTCTGAACTTCCTGCATGCTGTTAGACAGCTCCCATGTTTTCTGAGCCGTATTGCTCCCCGCCATGTTAATAATGTATCCAAGCAAAACCCGAGCCGTAAAAAAACCCGATTTTTTCTTTAAATAAGGGAAGAAGTGCTGTATTTCTCCCCCAAAGATTTTGATATCGTTTTAGGAGCTGATAGCTACTCGCTCAAGGAGCCATGACAGTGAGCGATACCAACGCAACAAAGTGAAATCGACGGGGACGTTCGTCTTCATATTACACATATTTACCACTGATGTGTTTATTTGTTATATGCCATCTCTTAACACTATGATATATGGTGATATTCCATTCATTAATCATATTTGTATCTTATTTATTACTCTTATTAGAATATATTTACCCCTGTGACGGAAGCCATGGTTTAGTCCTGCGACGACGTCAAACTAACCGCTGGGGACGCACTGACATCTAGCGGCGCTTTTTAGAAAGGTACCTACATCTATTTGTCAGGGCTTTTTTCTTAGAGCCTCGGCACTCTACTTATACTGGGAGCTGAAGTATTTAATGAGTCAATAAAACTGAAGCTAATATTCAATAATTAGGCAATACTATTCTGGAGGAAGGCCGTAGCTAGTAAGTTAAAGGGCTGCTGGTTAAGGCTAGATGGTATCATTTTTAGACAACAGCAGTATGTTAAGTTTATTAACATGTTGTTGCTGGTTTTATTTTGTTTAAAGATGATTAAAAAGAAACCGCAAATTCAGATCCTAGTGTTAAATATTGCAGAGTTATTAAATACTTAATATTTGGACTATATTAGACATATTTTTCTAGAATGTTTGTGTTAGATGTGTTTGCTAGCCTCTCCCAGGAGAAGGTTTGTGTCATGGTTGCCCATGGCAACGGAATGACGCTTTGGGCTCGCTGTGAAAGATCGGTCGGATAGGTTTGAGCTGTGTGTGGAAATTTAAGAATTATTGATATATATCGTCTTATTTGGTCTTCTTATTTGTCTAGCCAGAGTTACAGCCGAGCTTTAAAATAGACGCGCATGTTCATATACCCCATTATGGGGTATATAAACATTAAGTCCAATGTTTGCCTTATTGGGTGTATTGTGTATCACGATTGGACGTTTTTTTGAGAAGCATGAAGAAAAAACTCCCCGCCATATGTGATCAAGGACTTGCGAAGCAACGTTTATAGGTGTAAACTAATCAACCGGTGAGTAAAAACAAACAAAGAAACAAACAAAGAAACGAAGGAATTCTTTTAATCACATGTTGTTTTTTTAATAAACAAATCGGTGTTTCAGCGAGTTTTTCTCCACAGTCAGGGTCAGATGGTGCAAATTACACAATGCTGTAAATATGACTTCAGCAGCAGCTCTAGGAGTAAACCCCAATACCGACAGAGGTACTGTACAAGGCTGTAGTAGCGAATTGGCTGCATTTTTTTAAGCCTGTAGTGTTTAGTGAATAGTTTCCTGTTTTTATTGTACAGTCTACTCTATATATGCCGTATTTCCCAGGTATTGGCTTAAGCCATCTGCTGGGTACCGAGTATGAAAGGAAGAAGCAGAAACTTCAGCGGGAGCTCCAGCTGGACTACAGAAACTATATATCCAGGGTGTGACGACGCAAAATAAATAAATAAATTACTTAATAAATAAATAAATAAAATAAAAATCTGAACATGTATAGATAAAATAATATATAGTTCATTTAGCCAAAACAATAGGAATTTAATGTTACATCAGGCATATAATTATATATAACCTATAAGAAAGGTCTTAAATAAATCAGAATAGCTTATTAAAATAAAATTTAAAAAACATGCCAAGACAAACTGGTTTGGTGAGGTAAAAGATGCACAATTAAAAAAAACCAAATAAACCCCAAGCAATCTCAATATAAAAAAAGAGAAATAAACAACAGAGCACCACACAAAGGCATTAGAATATAAACCTTTTACTGAGTTATTTTCATTCACTGTTGTAATAAATTGTTAAATAGTAGACTAAACAGTATATGAAAAATAATGGATCTAAAGTCAGAACATCAAGTTAAATAAAACTGGAAATCTTTGCTTATTGTAAGTGCCACTGAAGTGGAAATTTGTAGCTCACTGTAGAACAAAAAGCACAATGAATCACAGTCACAATGAAATTTCAACAGCTGATTACTTATATTAAGAAGATAATAATTTTATGTATTGCAAGTTTTTTGAAGCTTATACTGAATTATTAAAAAAAAATTGGTGTCCGATTAACATAGATTAAATATGTGCTAATTTGCATATATATCCAATTGACAGAATGGAATAAAACACCTAAATGTGCATTTTAGACATTTCCTTTTTATTAGTGTTACATTTAAGAGTTAATAAATCTTAAATCCCAATCTTAAAATTGTCTGGAACACGAGAACTTTTTATCTGGAATGACATATTGGAAATCATTACAAAAATACATTCACCAGCCACTTTATTAGGTATACCTTCCTAATGCCACATTAGAACCATTTTGGCAATCTAAATGGCATAGATTGAACAAGATTTTGGCCTATGACATGGTGGAGTGTTTTCCTACTGAAATCAGCTATCAGACGATGGATACTCATGGTCATACAACGATGGCCATGGTCAGCAACAATACTCACATAGGCTGTATATACGTAGTATCATCAGTTGGTACTAAAGGGCCCAAAGTCTGCCAAGAAAGCATCCCACACACCATTACACCACCACTATCTGCTTTAGCTTATCTACCTCAAGGTTCACAGATGCTCTTCTGCATACCTTGGTTGTAACAAAGGGTTATTTGAGTTACTGTTTGCTTCCTATCAGTTTGAAGCAATCATTGATTTTCTTCCCTTATCTCACCTCTGGCATCAACAAGACATGTCCACCCAGAGAACTACTGCTCCCTGGATTCAGACTGACCCAGTAGATCACCAGTTTCTGAAATACTCAGACCAGTCCATCTGGCACCGGCAACTATGCCACGTTCAAGTAGCTTAGATCACCTTTCTTCCCCATTCTGATGCTTGATTTGAGCTTCAGCTGATCGTCTTCACCCTGTCTACATGCCCAAATGCACTGAGCTGCCGCCATGTGATTGGCTGATTTAGTATTTGCATTAATGAGCAGCTGAAAAGGTGTACGTAGCAAAGTGGCTGGTGAGTTTATGTCTGTGTTTAACTAAGTTACCTCTGTGTTGCATTTGCGTACACACAGCAAATCTCTTATTCGTCCTGCAGAAAACGGATCTGAAAAGTAAAGAGCCTCAACAACAACTTGATGGACTGTCACTACCGATTGATGAGAGGATATCTGTAAAGGTGTGCCTGCATTCATTCAGTCATCAAAGTAGAGCTTTAGCTCTTCAGCTAGAACTGATATAAACTGCTGACTGCACAGTGCTGCACGCTTCACGGCAACTGATTTTCTTTATATAAGTCCGTGAACTTACAAACAAAAGTTAAGAGGGATTTCAGGCGTCTATATGTGCACGACAAGCTGAATGTTGATAAGTATTGATGCAAGCATTTTTGAAATATTGAGGCAAAAAATATAGCCTTAACCTCATCGTCACCTGAATGTGTGCAAGCAGAAATACGTATCTTCTTTTGATAGAAGATGGTATTCTTTAAGTTTTGTATTTCCTTAAATTATAAGTGTCACATGAGCTTAACTGAGCGGTGTGGCTGCTTGACTCTGACTTTTTGATTTTTCTCTTGCAGGAAAAACTGAGAGAGGAGAGAAATAAAGAATACAACCTCTTCCTCCAAGAACAAGCTCAAATCAGAACGGTAAAGAGGAGAACGTCTTCTGTCAGTCCCAAGGTAAGAAGACTGATGACTCAATAGGCAGATCGTGCACAATAACACTAGTGTGTTTGGTGCAATAATCCATGCAATTTTTATAGCACACTATCAGTAGAAATGCTTCTCCATTTATCAGGTAGATACAGCTCACTGAGTACTTGAAAGATAAATAACGAAAAGCACTCTGTTACAAATTAAATCTTTTTTCACATTGAATTTCTTCCTCACATTTTCATTTTCAGCGTGGACAGATTCACGCTTCAGATGGCTTGAAAATTTCTCCCCCAGCCTCTCCCCTGTCATACCCTCACAAACATACCCACACAAACATAGTCCCCAGTCACAATGAGAGGAAAGATGCTTCCACTCTGACCGAGGCGTTCAACGATGGAGAAAACAGGAGTCCAGTTCAGAGGCGGCGAAGACGCTGGCAAATCTTCAGAGCAGAGCCCTACAGCTCTGAAGACGAGCTAAACACAGACAGAGGGGATGAGTTGGATTTGAGATACAGGAGGAGGAACGACAGGCACACTCAAGAGCCTGGGTACAAAGAGGAGATGACAGCGCAAGAGTGCAGAGTGAAGAAGTATCCTTTTTTTTCTGGAAAATGATTTGAATTACTGGTAGTTTCATCCATTACCATATAAATGAGATCAAATTGCTCCTCTGCCAAATTTCACTGTCCTGTCTGTTTCTATGGCAGGGCTTCTCAGGACAGAAAGGAGACAGCGGCTCCTACAGTTTCTCATCAGAAGACCAATGACACAATTTGGAAGTCTGAGTAAGCAAGTTTATGTTTTTTGACCCCTGCTTCTAGAAAGTTGTTAAGGATCTCAGCTCCTAACTGTACACTAGCAATAATGTTAGCTTCTAAATGCTTTACCCTGGGCAAAAGGTTTTGCAGCAATGTGATTTATGATGATGAAACAGTGGTCACATGCAGACAAGGGCGGCCAACAACATCCCCCTGGAAAGTCTCATAAATTTTCAGAATCAATAGCCCTCAAAGCTCTGCAGCCACTGTGTGACATAAAATCGTAGCTGGGTGTGGCTTAAAGAGGAAGTTATTGCGGTGATGTTACCCTTACATGCTGTCAGTAATTGGGTGACTCTTATGGAGAGCCCCATTCTGTTTGTGTATCTGTATTCAATAGTGTTCAAGTGCCAGCCAGCATGAAGATGGCTGCAAGATCTGCTGTCAGGACGGATAAGGCTGATTTTGCTACTGGACTGCTGATAGGTAAAAAACATTCTTACTACACAGATAATAAATGCAATTTATCCATTAAAGTCATATTTCAGAACTTGAGCAGTATTTTTAATGACTCTACGTCTTGATGCAGGAATAACAGAAGAGCAGGAGACAACTCAGATGAGGAAAGAACAATACAGGCAGGAGTTATTGAGACAAATCGCTGAAAAGCAGAGGAAGAAGATGGAGTAAGTCTACAAATTCTCAAAATCATCATTTTCATCAGAGTCCTTTAAGCTAGCTCAACCCTTATGAACTACAAAGCATGAAATCAAACTACTGATCGCTGGTCACCTCTCTTCTTAACTTAGAAAAGACCTGTCGAAGCTAGGTTAAGAAGAGAAGTGATGAGAGTTAGAGGGGGCAAGAATGAGAGGGTTTGGACATGTGGAGAGGAGGGTTAGCACATATATTGGACGAAGGGTGTTGAAGATGAAGCTGCCAGGCAGGAGGAAACAAGGAAGACCACAGAGAAGATTTCTGGGTGTCGTGAAGGAGGACATGCAGAGGGTTGTGACAGAGGAGGATGCTAGGGATAGGGTGAGATGGAGGCTGTTGATCATGTTGTGGAGACCCCTAAAGGGAGCAGCTGAATAAAAAAAGAAGACATAGAAAACAACATCAAGCCTGTGACGTTGTTCTCTGTCCTTTTTTTCTCTTTAGGGAGAAAAGACTTGAGCTGAGAGTTGACCCTGAGAAAGAGGTAGGAGAATAGCATTAAAAGATCTTGCTAGCAAAACCTTTAAACAGCAGAAACATAATGTTTTTGTCAGTTCTGGATTTGTTATTATAACTTTCATAGGTTGTGGAGTCTTGGCGAAATTTCTTGAAAGAAGTGCCACCTAATCTTATTCTCGATATATATGTTGTATTTTTTTGACGATTGTGTTCTGGACCACACATAATCTGTTCCAGCCTGACCGGATACAGCAGCTAGGGTCTGTGAATCGTCACTATAACAGCCTGAGCCAGGATGTTCTTCACAAGCTAGGAAAAGATCTAGAGGCTGAAGGGAAGCACCTAAATCCCAGTCTTGAAAATGGCAAACCCACTGAGAATGCAGATGAGAGAGCCCCCCCCGGAAAGTCCCAGGTGGACTTCATTACAGCTCTCAGACAACTGCCTGGGAAGACTGTGCCTTCAAATGGGATGGAATTACCGCAAGGTGTCCCCTCACTGGACTATTTTAGTGAGGACCACCACAGGGACTTCTCAAACATCCTAGGAGAGGTGACCATCCCAAGGTAACTCACATTTGCTTCGATTAAATGAATAAAATTAGCAGCCCTGCTATACACTCACTGGAGTGTTGGTAACTCTGTTTCAGGGTTGCGAGTGTTGCTCCTCCTTTACCTCCCATTGTACCTTACAATTACAAGACTCCATATGATGCAGATTATTACTACTATGGAACCAGGAATCCATTAGATCCTCATCTTCCTCACAATCCAAGTAATGTAACTATCTGTTTCACAAATATGTATTTACTAAATGTTTCTTGTTTTTATCCCAATTTATTTTTAGACTTGCGTTGTTGATTATTGCTGGCAGTTTTTAAAACAGACAACGACTGGTTTGATTTCAGTGTGGTGATGTTTAGATTGCTGGAGTTGAAAAACGTGTCGCTATCCAGTTTGTGTAAAGTCAACATTACAAAGAAACTGCAACAACCTATTAACAAAATTAAAATAAACCCTTATATTTACTGTGATAGATGACTTGCTGCACTTAACGCAACTGTCACCTCCATGCAAATCATATGAATGTTGCTTTAAGCTTCAGAAAAGCTTAAAGCAACATTCATGAAAACAGTAATGTTACTGTTTCTCCTTTTCTACAGCTGAAGGCAACATTAATGATAGTACTATATGTGAGTGGTGTGTTTGGTTACAGTTATTTCTTTTCTATTTTAATATTACTGCCAAATTCCTGCTCTTTATTTGAGCTTTGTTTGTGGCAGTCAGTGGCAGCAGATAGTTAATGAAGCTCTTGAATCGTGTGCATTCTTTATCTTATATTTTTGTATTTTCTACATCAGATGGTCTGCCCGGGGGGAATCGGCAGTCTGAGAATTCCAAGATTCTGTCTCAGAGAACGCGTCCTCTCAGATCCAGTGGCCAAAATGAGTCAGTGACCTTCCCAGCACCTTTGGAGTTGTTTTTTTGTAAAACATGTTAATTTTTTCAGCATGTTGATGTTAATATAGATTTTATTCAGTAAAGCTGCATTAAATGCCCCCATCTCTGCTAGCAGCAACCCAGCAGATCTTTTCTGTCTTCCGGAAGAGGGTCTTCACAAACTGAATACTTATCACTACCTTCTGTACTTATATCTCCTTGCCATTTGCTACTCTGTCTGCTTCCAGAGAAACTCATCAACATGGAGCATCTGCTCTGGTTTTTGAAGAACTTCATGCAGAAAGGTCAAAGCAGAGGAGAGAGAGTGTACTGAGCTACCAAGAGACACTCAGACAGCAGGTGCATTGTTATAGCTCCATGAAGAAACCACATGTTCTGTTATAGCAGTGTCATGGTTTCATCCTTTGAAAATTGTGTCTGGGGCCCAGATTAAAGAAAGAGAGGAGCACAGAAGAATAGAAAGAGAAGAAACAGCACGACTCAATGCCAAGATACAGGCTGAGATGAGGGCATACAACCCCTGGGGGAGAAGTGGAGGAGGAGGCGCTCCGATCAGAGACCAAAAAGGCAACCTTGTTAGTAAGTTTTATTGTAATGGTGTTCACCGGAGGCCAGATAATTTAATGTGTTTGATCAACAGCTATTAATGTAACATGTTTTAATGAATGTTTTGCTGCCTTTAGGTGACCTGAATTACATGCACAGGATCAATGAGGCATCATATAGGAATCCTGTGCCCACTCCTGGCACTGAAACTAGTTCTCCCATTTCCCATCGACTAACAGGTAATGTTATCTTCCTAATATTTCAGTGGCTGTGCATTTTATATGCTTTGTAGATCTATAGCTTATGGCTTTCTGTCTTTTCTGTTTTAAATTGTTTTCACCTTTACAGGTTTCAAGGATGAGACACTTCAACAGCAGGACAGTTACAGAGCAGCCCTGAAACAGCAGGTAGGTCCCGGGGCCTCTGTCTGTAGATGGATGATAGGAGAGGGTACTGATCAACTGCAGGATGAAATGAAATGCTTTTAGACTTACAGCAACATGTATTCTCAGCACTTTTAAAAAGTTGTAAATTAACTGTAACTGTGCATTTCAAACAGATAGAGGAAAACAAGAGAAAGCAGCAAGAGGAAAGAGAACAGATTAGAATTGAGGAGGGGAAAGAAGAGAAGAGGCTGGCCATGCAGAGGGCACGCTTACAGGAGGAATATGAGGAGGACCAAAGGAAAGAGAAAAGGAGGACTGAGGTGATGAGCTTGTTTCTTTTATAAAGAGTCCTTCATCATTTCTCCTTCTTTATAGTTAAGAGTGGGTTCCGTAACAATGGAGTGGACTTAGAGAAATAGTTTTATCTACTCTCTGCAGCATAAGCTGAAAAACCAAGGCTGGATCCATGAAGCTGAAACACATCGCCAGAAGCAAGAAAAGCTGGTGAGGCAGGAAAAAGAGACTAAGAAGGTACCTCAGACCACCAGGGTGGAGAAAGACTCACGGTTGAATTATGAGGTACGGTAAGCACGAAAAGACAGGAGTGCTATAGCTCGCTGTGTCTTTGTCAAAGAATGACATTTTACTTGTTGTCCTGCAGAGGCAGCCCTCTCCGCCTATCCCAACCTTGCAGAAAAAGATGGAAAATCTTGCGCCATATAGGCCATCCTCTGTTTTGAGCCAGCGGTCATCCAGAACTGTGAGTGACTCATCGCAAAGGCTGCAAATATTTTCACATTTTGCCCTTTATGATAACTCTATAATAAAAAAAAAATGCATTCACAGAATCGCTCAGTGTCAGCACCGCACAACCAACCACCCGATGAAATTCCCAGCCAGCAGGGTAAGATTTGTCTTAACCTCTGTGCGTGCAAATCATAAACATTTATTTTTCTGATCCTTGCTCTGCCTTCACTCCCCTGTCGTGCTTCAGATGATCAACAGGAAGTAATCAGAAAGCTGTCAGCCCTCCGTGGTTATCTGAGGAAAGAGCAACGACAACTGGAGGTTCAGATGGGTCGCACGGATTCACACGAGACCCACTACAATCTGGTAAACAGGTACTGCAGTCAGGCAGCACTGAACAGCAGGGGGATGTGTGCAGGTATAACAGACCCAAAATAACAGGGATTTCTATTTTTTGTGCCAGGCTTACAATCAGTCATTTAGAGACGCTGCTATGTTGAATTTAACCCAATTAACCCCCAGATGTTGTGAAGTGAAGACACAATACTAACTCTGGGCTGTTAAAGTGTGATCTTGATTTGATATTTGTAGTGAAGTATGTATCACTGTGCTTGGAAAAAATGAAGAGACCCATGTCTTTCCTCAGTGAATTGCTGTGGAGCACTACAGTAGCCATGTTGCTACTTAGAATATTCTCAACCCATTATTACCAAGCCCAGCATGATATGTCGAGTAACTGCATCCCTCCCTGCTAAATTACAGGAATGTTTTACAAGCCACTTGTTAATCTCTGCTTGTATTCAAGTTTACAGCAAATCATCTGAGAAATGCCTTTGAACTGGTGCCAGTCTCTGGGCTTTTCTTTTGTCACAGACTGCTGACACAGAAGGACCAGCGCTTTAGGGAACATAAAAGCTTTGGAATGTATTCAGCAAGTACAGGTCAAGCGTAATGCCCTCATTGTTTTATAGCAATGCAGAATTAATTTATGTCACTGCAGGGACAGTGCAGCAGGTGGAGCTAAATGTTATAGTTACTGTGCACAACTAGAAAGCATTTGACATAGTGAACTACTGCTACGTTTTCAGACAGACATCTGTTTGTTATTAGAGGTAGATGTTCTATTTAATTTGGGATTTCCCTCCTTTGCTCATGTGTAGAAGACGACCACATAGAGAATCTGCACATAGAGAAGCTGTCCTGTCTTCAGCTAGGAGTCCTTCTCCAGCTGATGCACATGCTAACAGGCAAAACATCAGGGAGTTCATCCAGCTTAAACACAGAGGTAATAAAAGACACAGCCTTGACACAGCTTTTAATGCTTCTTTGAACAACTGTTGTTCTTACAATGTACCAACCTGCAGTAAGTCTGATTTAATTTTCATTGCACAAATAATAATAGATTCAGGAATGTATTCATGGGAAGAAGCTGACAAAGAAAAAGTGGGATAGTCGGAGAGCTGAAGAAAAGAGTACTGGAAGGCTAGGCGCACAGCAAAGAGAGAGGTGGCCCTGGCAAAGGAAAAGGCTTGTAGTGAGTTGTATGTGAGGCTGGACACTAAGGAGAAAATGACTTGTAATGAATGACTAGGCAGAGAAATTGTGCTGGAAGAGATGTCCACCAGATTAGAGTGATTAAGTATAGAGGTGGAAATGTGCTGATGTGAAGAGAGTGTGTTGAGAAGATGGAAGGAGTACTTTGAGGAGCTCATGAATGAAGTTAATGACAGAAAGTGGATGAAAATGGAGTTAGAGAATCAGGAAGTGCAGAGAATCAGCAAGGAGGAAGTGAGGGCAACTCTGAAGAGGAAGGAGACGGGAGGCATCGAGAGGACTAGGAGCGAGGGCCGTGGACTTTTGAACAAGAGTGTTTAACACAATCTTGGAGAGTGAGGGGATTTCTGAGGAATGGAGATGAAGTGTAACCGTACCACTTTTAAAGAACGGGGTTGATGTGAAGAGAGTAACTACAGAGGAATAAGATGGAGAAGTATAGAGAAGGACTGATTGAGTTGCACTGTCTTTGTGGATATCATAGGGTGACTAGACAGGAACTCTGGTGCTGCATGAGGAAGTCCTGAGGGGCGGAGAAGTATGTGATGGTGGTGCAGGTCATGTAGGACAACAAGGCAATAGTGAAGTGTGCGGTGGGAGTGACAGTTGGGATTGAGATTGAGATTGAGATTGAGATTACATGCTTACATTACAATGCTTTTCTTTTATTCTCAGTACTAAGCTACATAGAGGAGGTCAGTGTTGATTCTGTTTACAATCACTTTGGTCATGCTGTTCTTGTAAGTGTGGAGGATACCAAATGGTTTAGACTTTTAACTGGTGCTCTATCTTCCTTTACCTAAACCAAAACTTTAATCTCATGAGGTCATTTGAGGCCTCGGTCAGTGACGGACAGTTTGCCCATGTGTACAGTGAATCTCATGCAAGCTACCAAAGAAATGACTGGATGTGTTCCCAAACTGGAGTCTGAAACACTTTTTTTGCTTTGTGTTTATTATTTTACTGATGCGAATATTTAATTTATTAGTCAATTGCTTTGCCTAGAGCTGCCCTATAGTAACAATCCCTGATGTGACGTAGCTTGCTTTTATCCTGCAGGTACGACATCTCGTGAGGAGGTTCGAACCCTGTACCCTGACCCTCCCGCAGACGCGCAAAGTCTGGACATCCAGCAGCAGGCCCTTCTACGTGAACAACAGCACAAAATCAGGCTAATGAGGAGACAGGAAGATGGTGGTCAGTGAGCAAATACAAATCAGTTTCACCTCAAATGTTTGTCCTCTAACTCCTCCTTCTGTCTTCTTCTGTAGACTTCTTGGGACGTCAACTAGGTCATTATTATCCTGTAAGTGATCAGCACATTACACAGTAACTATATTCTGCACTTTCACCCTGGCAGATAATTCAGTCTTGCATGGCTTAATTTTGTTAATTGTAGAGATTTTATTGTTTTCTGTCTGCATTTGTGTCTCCTCCCAGATCAAGAACCCTGGACGTGCCACTCACAGAAACCCCATATTGCCATCAGAGAGTTCTTTTATTGGTGAGTTTGGCAGAACATGGTCCGTCTGTAAAAACAGTCTTTCTCATTTATTTCCCTTCTTGTGTTCACATGACTGGGGACACAATAGACTTTGAAAAAAAAAATCCCAAAAGCACCAGATGTTTTACATAAAGGTGACACGGTTTGGGAAGTCCACTGCATACAACCTCATAATACCTTTCTACAACACTCTGTGTGCCAGGCCAATTTAGCTCTTGGTTTCTCTGCCAGGCTAACTGTGGTGCGTGCCAGCCAGCTGTCTGTGTTGCAGCTGGTGCTAGATGCAAGGTGACTATGCCAGCTGCAGGGTGGTGATAGCAGACTCCCAGAGCACAGGCAATTGGTACATTAGCGATAAAAAAAAAAAAAAGCCTGATGGCTTTTGAATACTTTTCTTCAAGCTCAGGGTTTTCTCACTATTTTCATATTATGCATGCATAAATGGAATAAAGTTTAGGTCCCTACCATCTGTTTGGCTGTAAAGTGGCTGTACATTTGCAATTAATGATACATGGCTATTGGGTTTTTGTCAGATTACAGTGGTGAGGCACCTGAGCAGAGATCCCCTCAACCATCAGCAGAGCACCAGGAGAGGACGGCCCCAAGGACGAGACTTAACTATGATGTATGTCTGATATGCATCTTGTGTTTTACTAAGATCAAAAGGATCACCATCATTAAGATATCAAAGCTCTGTATATATTTACAGGAGGTGGCTGACAAGGAGGGTGATAATCTGCCAGCAGTACCCAGTCACAACAACCAGAACAAACGCCACATTACGAGGCCAGACTCCCACTCTGGTGATCACAGCGTAAAAGGTAAGACGAAAGAATTCACTACAGGAAGCATTTAAATGATCAGGCTTATAACTAGTATAGCAAGTGGGAGCTAATCTTAAACACCGTATAAATTAATGAAACATAAAAAGCGTGCCACTTTATATACTTGTTGGCTTTTAGCAACATGTGCAAATTTTAAGCCTTTTTTTAGTATCATTGAAAAAAAATGTGATGGATAAGCCTCGGTACTCTACAGACTGGCTGCCCGGTGATGAAGCGGACATGTCGTCGCTGGGCTCTGCCATGGGGAGGCGTGTCTCTGTGGACACTGTTGCCACGGAACTGTGGCTGCGGCCCGGAACATCAGACGCTGTAAAGCAGTGAGGCTGTAGCAACAGGATAAACAGGCGGATGGGAGCTCCACACAGACTTAAACACTGCATTGCACAGCTCCCATTGGTGGCTCTCTAAACTGGAAATGCACAGCCACCTTTTCTGCAAACCAGGTGGGGGTTCTCATGAGAACTGATGTCCTTCCTGTGCAGTGCTTTACTGACTTACACTTTACTTGTGTGCTGTTTCTATTTGCTCTCATTAGAGACCAGAGTCTGTAAAAACATTAATGACTATTAGATCACAGAAGAAACAGTTAATACAAAACTCACTTTGGCCAATTCCTCTTTACCTTCTACATTTAGCACATTAACATTTTGTAAAGGTGGGATTCAGTTAATGAATAAAGTCATGGTGTTTTTGAGCAATAAAAATGTTACTGTAATGTTGTCCTGGCTGATCATTATTAAACAGCTGGCAGCAACTGTAATTCAGTGATTCAGCATTTCAAATCAACCAAGTTCAAAAACTTTATTGACCTAGAACCTGATTAGAATGCCAGATGATGTATTGTACAGAAAGTTGTACATATTCTTTTGCAACATAGAAAACTTTACATTGCTGTATCATATACATTTTTGTTTTCTACATCCATGAGCAGGAATGCACCCCAGTCATACTTAAAGCACAGCTAACATTTGTCATTTTCTCTATACATATATCTTTCCCCCAGACCAAAGAAAAAAAAAAACATTAAATATATTATTAACTTCTGATTTTTATACACAAGAGTGAAAACTAAACTCACATGAAAACAGACTAGTGACTCAAAAAAGCAGCTAGAATCAGTTTGCTGTCGTCTTCCAGTTATAGAAGCCCCGTTATCGTCTATTTCGGTTAAAAACCTCATAACATATAAAATGGAATAATTTAACCCATCACTTTCCGCGGTCTTAGTTTAATTACAAATCGTACTGTTTAGGACAATCTGCAGGAGGTGGTACAGTCAAATAAATTATCACAAAAGTAAAATCTCCAGTGCATTTGAAAAACAAAAACAAAACAGATCAAGTGCAGCAAATCCAGAGAAGGAAAACAAATTTAAACAAAAATAAAAGAAATTTAGTGTTATAAGATTATATTACACAACGGCAGATCAGATCTGTACAACTAGTATCATCCAAGAGGCTATCCATACTAATGTTAGCCATCTGCAGTGCAGACAGAGATCATTACTATCAACGTGTGACAAACGTCACTGTCATAGTTGCAGAATATGTCTTTTTGCATGTTGCTGAAACCATTCATTCTTTGTTTTAAATATACAGTAAGAAGCACACCTTTTTTTTTTTAATATCTTCCTTCTGAGCAGATCAGAGATATGGATAACTGTCAGTTGGTTATCAGTAGTTTTATCCAGTAGAGGCATCGCTACACATGGTACAAGACATGTTTTTATAGTGTTAGCAAGGACTCCGTCTGGGCTGTTTGTGTGTACAGGCGTGTCTGTGTGTGTGGTGACAGGGTTAAGGGAGCAGGTGGATGTTAACAGATAACTGACTGACAATCAGCCAATTTTAAATCAAGTGTTCGGCATGAAAACACACCGAGGCCCCTGAGGCAGCACAGAGCACCAGCACGGCCACGCGAATCTACGACGGAGGCCTCGGTAGAGCTTCGTGCTCCAGGCTGTTTGCGGTGCAGCGTCACTGGGCCTCCTCCCCAGCCTCCTCTCCAACCTCCATGTCAGTCTCTGGCTCACGGGCCTGCTGAGGCTCTGGCTCAGGCAGCTGTGCAATGTTAAACACGATGCCGATACGCAGGTAAAACTTTCTTAGGATAGCTCGGAGCTCGGGGATCAGGTCGAACTGCATGATCTCACACAGAAGAGGGTAGTATCTGGATGCATGAGCTTTGAACTACAAGTGGAGGTGAGACGAGAGAGCAGGGAAGAGACAGAGGAAGACAATGAGAAGTTAGATCTTTAAACACATGCTCATATTCTTTTTGATGTACACAAAAATCTACAAAGAGAAATCTGTAATGGCCCAGTCACACTAGAGTGAAAACAGGATGACAACCTCACTGTGACCAGAAAAATAAATAAATAATAAAAACAACTGACTGGGACTGAATTTAATTTTTTCGCGTTGGGTGACTAATTGCAGGTTTTTTCAGTGAATAGTTTTGTTCACAGGGTGATTTGACAGGTTGCCTTGTGGGAGGCGGCAGAGAATGTAATCACTCACAAACAAATTTGCAAAGGTTTGTAAATAAATGCCGCCTCATTCATAAATGCACAGACTGCCAACATGCTGCTGATGAATGAAACTTGTCTGCAATCTCTTTGCATTAGGGAACTTGACTTAACTGGCTGCCAATTGTAATCTGGTCATATATTTATATATGAAAGCAAGGTTGCAAAGTGTTTGTGTTCTTTTGCAGTCAAATTGGATCAAATTTTGTGGAGGACTTTCTGAATTTTTGATTCAGATGTATGAGGTTCTGGTTGGACTCTGAGCATAAGGTGGCATAGATGGCAACAGATCTTTCCCCCGATTTATCACAGTTAATTGCCAAGTTATCACTAACACATTGCATGCAAATACCAATTTGACCCCATTTACTTGCAAACAGACCATGGTCTAATTCTGTCACATTTCCATTTTATTATCATCTTGATGCGCCAAAGTTGCTTTGAATAAGGCAACTGACTGCAATGGTTTGCAGACCAGGTCTCCATCTTTGAAGCATCTATTTCAAATGCAATAAGACGAGTTCATTTCACTTGATTGTAATAATTTTGCTGTTATCTTCAACCACCATTTTCCCATACCATAATACTCAAGGAAAACATGATGATGAATGTAGTGGGATTAAGGTTTAGCCTGCTCAGTTTTGTTTGTTGTATGCCTGACAGGATATGTGCAAGCATATGTAACAGCACACATGGCCAAAAATATGTTTGTTTTGCCTCTGACACCAATAAAATACAAAAAAAAAAATATAAATGCAGTCTTAAGTATTAAGCTACATCACACATAGCCTTAAAAGGTCTTGTCTGTGTGTGCGCAGCAGCGAGAAAGAGCATCAGTGGGTGTTTTGGCTTCTTACCCTTTCATCACTGATCTTTAGCACCTTGGTGAGGAAGAGCAGCAGCAGGTTGGTCCACGCTTCTCTGTGGCTTTCTGAGGTCAGGGCCAAGAAGTATGCTACAGCCTCGCTGCACACGCTACACGAAAGAGAAGAAGAAATCTGGATTAACACACCGAACAGAACAAGCCTGGAAGTCAAATATGAAGTCAAACATAGAAAAGTGCTTCTGATTCCTGTGTTGTTTTCTAACGTTCTGTAGCAAGGCAACATCTGCATCCCCCGCCTCACTTGTCACATAAAAAATTGCTGCAGTGAGGATGATGAAGGTTGCTCTAGCTCAACGACTGCTAATTAAAACCCCCGACTGAGGCTGGTATAAAAACAATTGGATGTTTTTCTCCACACTTTAAGCTCAAGGAAAACTGAAGCCACCTTTCGTCTTTGATCCTGCAGCTGCCTGACAACATCCACTTCCTCCTCTCCTCCCTCCTTCATACTCACAGCTCTCCCGCCTCTGTGACTTAATGGCCACCCAAATCTGCTTTGGTCCCTGCGCTAATCAAACCAGCATGTGAACTGCGTGGCCTAAACAGAAAAAGTGCTTGTGTGGAGTTCAGAAATAAGCCTGTGCTGCTGATGTGGTGTTTTAAGTGACACACAGCAGCATTTCAGTGAATTAGGATCTGCATGCAGGCACTAGCCTCCTCCACCCGCATCCATTCTCATCTCCTCTCTAATAATGAATGCAACGAGGAGAGACGTGCAATGATTCTGCTTCATCTTGACATCATCATCAATATGAAGGCGAGGCAGGGAGAGAAATGGGATGACAGCAGTGTGTGAGGCGTTGAATAAAGACAGTGTGATGACAGCAGTGCTGACTGAACAATGAAACATCTTATGCGCTGATTCCTTTGGATCCAAACATCACACAGCATCCACTTCAGACAACCTCAAAGCTGCTAACATGCTGGGCCTTCGCCACAAGTAACCGACTACAGTTACCGAAATCTCAACAACCCTCTCCCTAATGTCATAGCGACAACAGAACAGCCCTTTCCTTCAGACGTCTTGGGCTTCATTTGACCAATAAAATAGTTTATAACTACAGAATAAATGCAAATAGACTCACGTACACTTAGACGAGGAGTTAAGCCAGTCCTTTTCCTTATAGCCTCTAATAGATTACTATAATAATATTGAGCCAATAATACGATTTGGGATGTTTACACTCAGCTCCACTGATTGCCTCAGTAGATGCAACGTTACCGCTGCCCATCAGGATAGCATGCGGTCCTTACTTGAGCAGTCGTCTCTGGACCTCCTCCCAAGCGTCCCGGCGGCTCTCGTCTGTGTACATGCGAAACAGGATGCGCAGCCCACATGCCAGGCTGCTGGTCTCCTGCTTCAGGAGATTGGGCTTCGACTTTCCTTTGAAACCTTCAAAATGAACACACACAAGCAAGTGTTTACAGCTCAGCATATTCAAGTTTTTGTCTGTCAAACCTAAAGAGACTCGAAACCGACTTGGTGTTACTGTAATTTTTGACTAATGATCAAAAGCAAAGGAGAAAAGATGGAGCCCATGTTCTCTCGCCCTACCTGCTTTCCACAGCAAGGTTCTTTGCTCATTGTTGGAGTTGAAAGCCTTGGCAAAGTGGTGCGAGTCCAGCAGGCAATCCAGCAACTTAAAAAGCTGCTCAGAGGTCAGGTAGCGATACATTCCCTGGTCCTGGGTCTCCACGGAGACGTCTGCTGAACACACAGCATCCCGCTGCGAAAAGACAAATGAATGATGCATTACTGTGTAACACAAAAACAAAACACGGCCGCATTTCTACGCGGGTGTGGGAGAAAACAGCTGTTTGTACCTGAGCAGCTGCAAAGTTCTCCGCATCTTCCTTCTTACTGGTGGCGGGGAAAAAGACGATGTTGTCGATGGTCTGGATCAGCTCCAGCTGCACAACGCACTTTATGAGCAAAGCCGAGAACAAACGCTGCTCCTGGATCTCTGTGGGATATGCAGGGGGGAAAAAAAGGGAAAAAGTTAATCAGAAAATGTATGCAGGCAAAAAACACACAGGGGTCAAAAATATCTGAGTGAAGTGGCAGACTGACTTGTTTGGGTCCTACTCCTTGGACCGTCCTCGGTCACGCCTGAGGCTGAGCTGTACTGACTCTGCCGACGATTCTCCATCGCAGCTCTGTCGGAGCTGCTGATGGAATGCTGGTCATCAGAGCGGGACTGGATGTCCAATGACTTCTGAGAAACTGAGTCCTGGGAGCAAAGTAAACAGAGGTACTGCTATAATGCAAGAGCTGTACGTGTAAATCAATCAGTTATAGAAA